GGTTGGGGCGGGGGGGAGGAGGGGGGAGGCGGGGTGGAGGGTGTGTGTGTTTCATGGTCTGGCTGGAAAGGATCCACAGAACCATGTTTACCTCCAACAGTCCTCCTCAGGCCTGACCTATGTCCTTAAACAGCCTGGGAATTGTAACCACCCCACAAAACCACAGGGGCCATAACCATAGAAGCTTGTAATTTCAAGGGACCTTAAGGGAATCTAAATTAAGCTGCTTCTTCTTCTTCTCCTTCTTCTTCTTCTTCTTCTTCTTCTTATTATTATTATTATTATTATTATTAGGGTTGAAGAAACAGTTGGCCAAGGAATTAAGTGATGTAGCTAAAGTCACAAAGATGGTCAGTGTTAGGGACCAAGTGGTGGCTATTTACAAAGCAGGGAGCTTCTTCTGCTCTTTTTCTTTTGATTAAAAAAAGAAGAAGAAGAAGAAGAAAATAAGGTCTTTGAGGCAGGCAGAGTTTGGTGAAGACACAACAGCCAGGTCCCTGCTCTGCCCCGGGGCCTTGCACTCAGGAAGCCAAACCAAGCCCACTGGCTCACCTAATAGTCGGGGCGGGGCATGCTTCTCTGTGCGTAGGGGTTCTGCATGGGGCTGTCCTTGGGGAAGGTGGCTCGGACTTTAGGGAAGAGGCTCCCTTCTGCTCCGAGATTGCTGAAGCCTGTCGTCGACATTCTCATACTATGATAGTCGTCCTCAATCAGGTTCTGTTCTTCAATACCCTTTGTCTTCGATCTGTAATTAGTAACGGGAATTAGGATCAGACAATGGCAGAAACTTCCTGAAAGCAAATGCTAATGCCAATACTCTTTTTTTAAAAATGTTTTAAAATTTGCAAATATTTTCAAATTTACCAAATTTGAATTACCAAAAAAATATTGCAGAGTTCTCATACATCATCGCCGATTCCCCACTTGTTAACATTTCTGAACCATTTAAGCTTAAGTTGCAGACCTGATGACCCATAACCTATAATATTTCAGTGTAGATTCCGTAAGCCTGAGGACTGTCTCCTCATAAGCTTCGTGTAACCGTTAAAACCAGAGGGCTAACACTGATCCGACATTACCATCGAATTCCACCAGGCCACATAGATTTTGCTAATGTTAGTATTCTTAAGTGTGCTTTTGAATTATTTACGGAAATAACAATAGAAGTCAAAGAGAAAAGATGGTTTGTGATACGTTTTTCCATTCAAGCCAAGTCTATGTCTATAGAAGCACCTCAGTGAATAAAACAAGTTCAAGGTATAGAGGTCTTAATGCCTTTCTGTATTGGCCTCTCGGGGATAAGCATTTCAAGCCAAGTGAATTTCTTACAGGTGAAGGAGGCATCTGCCCCAATTCACCCTGATCGTGAGCCTATTCTTCCTTCTGTCCCTCGGGCCACAGACCTGCCCCTGCAGTGTCCTAGACCAGGGGTCGGCAAACTGCAGCTCGTGAGCCACATGTGGCTCTTTGGCCCCTTGAGTGTGGCTCTTCCACAAAATCCACGTGCGGGCACGCATGTACAGTGCGATTGAAACTTCGTGGCCCATGCGCAGAAGTCCATGTGTAGAAGTTCTGCCAGCAAATATATAGAAATCAAGGGCATTTCCCAGGACAGGAACACTTCCATTCCATACCTCAGGAAGATAAGTGCAATCACCATGCCAAGAATGAGGATGCCAGCAACGGTGCCCACGATAGTGAGAATCAGCTGAAATGCTGAAAGGGAAAAGAGAAGAGTTGGAGCAGTATCCTACAAGCAAGCCCCCGCGGTCTGTCTCCTGCACAGGTGTGCGTGTTCTGGGGGCTCACCCAATCAGGCTCTCAGCTAGCTCGGACCCCTCCAGGGCCAGCTTGGATGGGTCCCTCGCCTCTCCCCCCACCTCCAAACCCCAACGGTATCTTCAGAACTCAATCAGAAGAGGCAGTCTTGCCAGATAAAAGACCAGAAACACGAAGGCGGCCATGGAGGCCATGGGATCTGTAGGGAATGGGATCTCAACCGAGGACCACACTCCCTCCTGAGCTCCGCTGCCTTTGGCTGCCCACCACACCTGACCTGGATGATAAGCGGGGGAGGGGGGGGGAGGACCTAGGAGGTTGGAGTTAAGTTGTCACTCAGAGGAGACAGGCAATGGCTTGGTAGAATCGGTGAGGGGAGAGTCTGCAGGTTCATTACCACCAGCCTCCCTCTCAAGATGTGTTGTCTAGCACGGCTGAGCACTTGAGATGTGGCTATGAGATGGCCGGTGTGTGTAACATGCACAGTGGATTTCAAACACATTTGAAAAACACTGTAAAATATCCCGTGAATAATTCTTATGTTGATTACATGTTGAAGGGATGACATTGTTGATATAGTGAGTGAAATAAAATGTCATTAAAATCAATTTCTCTTTACTTTTAAAAATTTACTTAGAATTTTACAATTTGAAATTAAATATGATGCTCACATTATATTTCTATTAGATCGTGCTGCCCTGGACCCTTTCTCTCTCTGCCACCTGACTGTCATGTATGCCTCCGCCTGGGTTCACGGGGCCGTAGACCATTACACCTCCAAGGTCATCCAGCCTGACCTTCTCATTGTATAGGTGTGGACACCGAAAGCCCGGAAGGAAGAAATGACTTAGTATATCCAGTTCTGCCAGCAAATATGTAGACATCGAGAGCATTTCTCATCACTAACTTTGGAGGTGGCTGGAGGCCAAATGTAATATTTCCCTCATCTTGGATCATTTCGTAAAATTTTAAATATAAAATAATTTAAAATATACTAGTCAAGTTAGTATTGTCCCAACCTGGTGGGTGTGAAGGGTGGGAGGAAACGAAGCCATTGAATTTGCAACAACAGATCTCAAACTACTAGGTAGCTCTGAAAAATAGTGTTGAAATGTCTGGTGTCTAGTTCTCCTCTCCCCCAACACAAGCATGTTTGGAATACACAAACATGTCTTTTATCCTTTCTAGTAGCAGAAAATGCATAGTTAAGCTACTGTCAAAAATGAATAGGACGGTAGGATGCCCTTGGCTGACTGGGAACTTGTCCAGAGGCGCCTGCCCACCTCTTGGGCCGAGTTCTGTGATTTCTTACTACAAAGGTGCTGCTGCCTGTGACCTGCGGGCGGGAGGGGCTAGCACCACCCAGAGGATGCGCTGCAGGCAGGTCCGTCCCTCTCTAGGAGCCAGAGGCTTTGGGGGGCCTGACTGAATTCTGAATGGGATTAATGTTTGTTTTTCAGGTGCTTAACAGCAAAGCAAGACTTTTATACTCACGGTCTTCACAGTCGACTCCACTGTAGCCAAATGCACACCTAAGATACAAGACATGACAGGAAACCACGGTAAAGAGCGTGTGGGAGCGTGTCAGAGTTCCCAGCCCGCCCCCATGTCTTCCTTTCCACCGTTCTCTCATCCTCCCCTCCCTTGTTCTTTCTCTTTCCTTCCTTACAGTCCCAGTCTCCATGGAGCTCTAGAAGCTTTAGGGGGGTCACATAATCCCAGGCGGTCTCATTTTCTACTGACGGAATACTCCGTCCCCTGAACTCTGGGAATATTCAGCAATCCCGGGGGAGCAGAAACCCAGAGACATGGAGCATAGGGGGACCCCCTCGGGCTGGGAGGCCATGGTCTCTGCACTGTGTGCTGAAGAAAAGGATGGATATCCTCTGAGCTTCCGTTTCCTCACCTGCAAACGGGGGACTGACACATTCCTGATGGTGCTGTTGTGTGAGAGGTATCCCTAGTGCGGCTCCCAGCACATAGAAGTGTCAGAAACTACTGAAGACAACAATGGCAACGATGATGATGATGATGCTCTATACCTACTGACTGACGCCAGGATACCAGCTTTCTGACCCTAAGCCATGTTGCAAGCTCTATCCTTATCCTTTACCCCCTAACCAGCTCCAGCCATAGCAGGATAAGAAGGGAATGGTTTCTCTTACGCTTGGCAGTTCTCCTTGGCGTCCTTCTGGTAGCCCGGCAGGCACCTGCATTCAGAGCTCCCATTGCTATGCACCAGGCACTGCATGTTGTGCTCCGCATTGCAGGTATCAAGACACTTTGGACCCAAAGCTTCAAAACAGAGTGAATTCTGGGTTATCTTCAGAACCAACCTCTTTAGCCCCAAAGTGATATGTCACAGAATACAATTTTTCACATTTCTTTTTCGCGACAAAATGAGGTGCTCCTGGGCTGTGCACAGGGTGTGCCCCGAGAAGCTGCCCACGGGCCACCGCACCAGCTCTCGGCCACGCCCCCACTTCAGACATGTGTCTGGAGCCAAATGTCACAGCCCTCAGAGCCTGAGATGCACCTGGACCCTTGAGCAGTAAAGTTTGTGTTTTGCAAATGTGAAAGGAGGGAGGGCAGGCGTTGTGCAGAACATTTAGAAGCAGGTGGAACACTTACCAAGACACAGAGCCGTCTGTGGGTTGGGTCTTGACAGCCCCGGTTTGCACTTGCACACCAAGATATCCCTGCAGCCGTCTTGCTCATTTACACACCCATAGAAATCACACCGATTTTCCTCTGAGGGGCACAGATAATTCCAAAATACATTTGTTGTTATAACTGTTGTTATAATTGCCTTTTAATAAGTTTGGGGATTTAACAAATGAAAATCTGGAATTCTAAAACCCGACTCCCCAATCCTCTCTTCCATGACGATTTCCTTACATTATTCGATTCAAATGAATTCCATCGAAAGCAGTGCAATTATGTTCCAGTTCAAGATACCTTTTGTACCTCGCTCGATGCTGGGTTCCACAAGGGACACAGTAGCTATATAACTTTTGGGTCCCATCTTGGTAGAATTACATGTTTGAACCCACAGAGAGTTGTTTCAAGCAACTCATAATCCAGACTTTAAGTACAATGGGATGTTAGGGGCTCAAGTTGCTAAAGGTAACATCATGGAGGAAATGGGAATTGGGCTGCCTTGAAAGATAGGGAAGATTTGAACAGTCAGAGGAGAGGCAAAGTCTTTCTAAGTAGAGTAAACAAGGCATGAGCAGAAGCAAAGAACTCTTGTTAGGGAGTCGTGGTGTTGTATGTGGGTAGGGGAAAGGCAGTGTGGTAACGGGGAAGAAAACAGAAAATTCTTGGCTGTGCCATTTGGGCTCTTGGCTATGGGCTCTCTCCGTTCAATCATTTGATTTTTGGTGGGTCCAAGTTCCCTCAGTCTATAAAATGGGGCGAGTAATTCTTACTTCACATGATTGTTGTGAGAACTGAATGAGCTAATGTAAGTGCACGCCCACTGTCGGAGCCTCAACAAATAATCATTCTTTTGTTCATTCACAGGTGTAGCAGGGTTTGAATGCCAGGCTAAGGACGAGGACTTTTATCCCATAAGCCTGAGAATCCATTGGTAGATTCTGAGCAGGAGCAAGGTGTGAAAAAGCAATCCTTGAAGAATGTTAGTCTAGAATGAATAAAGAGGTGATTATATAT